GCCGGTTTTTCCCGAAGTCGCAAAAGTATGACATCACAACATTCTGATTGGTCACTTGCAATGTTGATCCTGGAACAACCTTTAGTATGATGATCTGGGAACAACACCAACACGAGGATATCAGATCGTGCCTGTACCAGCAGCACCACTACAGCTGTACAGGAACGTCTAAGGAAGCGATTATGTGCGTATGAGCCAAAACTGCCAGAGTGAGCAATTACTAACTCATTATAATTATAATAAAAATAAAAATAATCAAGCATAATTAAACTGTATAACTGTTACAAGTCTTTATTTTGTCTCTGGCTGGTACCTCCCTGTGCTGATGCCAATAGTCAGTGGCAGGTATGACTAATTATACACAGTCTATCACATCCAATGCTCCTGATGGAACTCATTAAAAAAGAGAGAGAAAGATTAATTGAATCAAGCGACAAGTGGCCATTGTATAAAGTAATTATGAAGGGGGAGGAAAGAGAGAACAGCACGTTTATCTAGGACAGATTAATGAAGCAGACATGTGAAACAAGACAGCACAAAAGGGAAAAGACAGAAAAGTGAGCAGCAGGAACAGTTTACAATTCATGGAACAGTGGAGAGTCTGGACCAACAAACAAACGTCTGTCTAAAGAACGACTAATCACCAGTGAATGTATGAACTACATAGAATAACACTAACAATAGTATGTCAGCGTAAGGTAAAATAAAACAGGGGCAGGTTCAGCTACAATTACAGGCTGTAAAATGTGGTGGGGGTGGGCAGCTGTACATGTTGTAATTATGGGTGGGTGGGGTCATATAAATATATCTACTGCACTTACATCTGGCTGTGGAATTGCGTGCTGTCCTTGTACGGCATATGCCTGAAACAAATGAAAACAAAGCTTTCATAGGCCTCACATCTGATTTTGTCGGGCAGCTCATTTCTCCAGCAACAACACTCTCGGTAAACAAATCTCTCTCAAAACACATCAAAGCCTCGTTTGCGGCCTGAAAAGCCAACAGAACCTTTCATCGTCTAGCGTCGCCAAACCCAATCTGGGAACTTGTCACAGAGTCTGCTGTGGGAAAGAGCCAATTTTCTGAGCCTTCTGCTAAATGCAATCCTCCTTTTTCAGTCCACGCAGACTGTTCCTGCTCACAGCTGAATGTGAAACAAATCATGAACATTCATTTCCACATATCCATGTAGAGATGGAACTAAATATAACTACTGCAGTCGCACTTTGACGACAGGAAGGTTAATTAGCTCATCGATATCTCTTCCCCATCATAAAGTCACAGTTACTAACAACACGTATGAATCAGTGTGTTGTTTAGGCATGTTACATATTATGGTAGGACAATTATGACCCAGTACTACTCAGCCAGCAGGTTTTGGGAATGAGTACAGAATAAATATTAGGAGAAAAAAGAAAGAAGAAAGTAGGCTTTGCAACCTAACAGGTCGATAAGTAAACCTAGAAGATTTAATGTGTTCTGTTTCAAGATTTATCATCAAACAAGAGCTAAAAACCAAGGAAAATGCTATAAAATCGCTTGCATTAAGTCAAGGAAAGCCAAAAGGATAATATTAAAGTAAGTATCAAAGTGATCAAAATAGATTCCTTGTCCAAAGTCTCCACATTTCTAAGAAAAAAAGAAATATTTAGAGGCGTTACAGGAGAATTACAGAAAATCAAAGGAGAGATTTTGTTTTATCAAAAGAAATAAAAAAGGTGTTTAGAAGGATAAAAAAGAGCTTTAATGTTAGGCCAACAAGCACCAGAAAGCATTTTGGTTCAGACTAGGGGTGGGCGATATAAACGATATAAATTTGGCCAACGATAGAGATTTTGACTATATCGCTCTATCGCGATAGCGCATGTTGATGATGTCATCAAGCTGCACCTGTTTTGGTCGAAAGCATCGCAGCGGCTAAAACCATTATCATCTGCAAATTATGGCGACAGTCATAGCAAAGAGATGAAGCACTTTTGAAATATGGGAAAACCAAAAACTGCGCTTCCTCCACTTCCGTAACATTGATTCATTAATGTTGAATTCTCTCGCAGCTGCTCTATTTCCATGTTGTTGCAGTATATTAATAACTAACCTGGTATTGTGGATGAATAATCTCAGTTGTTCTCCTGACTGAAGTTTGGCCCGTGTATACCATCCTGCTATGCGATTGCATTTGTCCCTAAAAATATTTTTTAACAGATTTCTGCTCAAATCGGTTCGAGGTCAGTAAGCACAACCAGAATTCACACATAAGGCACACTCTCGATTTTTGAGAAAATTAAAGGATTTTAAGTGTGCCTTATAGTGCGGAAAATACGTTATACAGAAGAAAAGAATATATCGTGATATATATCGTTACCGCACGTGCTTCAAATTATATCGCGATATGAATTTTAGGCCATATCGCCCAGCCCTAGTTCACACCAACATTAGTAGGAAATAGGCCACCTCACTTCTGAAACCTGATGCTCAAAACAATGAAAAGCTCCATGGAAATGGGAGGAAATTCAAGGCTCTGAAACAAAAATCTTTTATTCTAGGTCTGCTGTGTATGGCTTTAAAAAAAAATTAAAAATTAGCACAGATACTGTTGTCTAACCTAAAGCCATCCGAGCTGCTCTTTTACCTGCTTTCATGATCTTTCCCCTTTCATCATCTTCTTCTGACTCAAGTATCCTTTCATCACAAATCAGGTTTTCCAAGTATGTAACAAAATCCATAGTCCAATATCTCACACACACACAAAAAAACCCCGAACTCTGGCATCTACTGATTCCCTCCAAAGTATCGCATGTACCTGTCCGCCTGCAAAGATGACGGGTGATCCTGAAGGCTTGGGTCTGTAGGGGATAGTGACCCCCTTAGGGGGAGACTGTACAAAAGACAAAGGATCTGTTAATACACTGATATCCATTTTATCATGTTTTACATCTGTTTATATAATCATTAATACAGATTAAACACAGCTGCAGTGTAACAGCATCTGTGTTTTTATATATACAATAATATCAGCTCAAACCATAAACTCTTATCTGAGCCGCTGAAAAGCCGAGAGATCGTATATCTGAAACGACTACGAACAGCCACTTCATCTGCTTCACTGCTTACCTCAAGCATGACCACACAGATCTGCTTGACACACTCAATTATCGACTGGGGAGTGCCAGCAATGGTGATGGCACGCTCCGTGGAGTTGGGGAGCATGTCTCCAGCCACTTGTACCTGAGCACCGGTTGACTGAAATACACAAATGAAAGAAAGTGAGATGCAGAGACAAGTGTTGCCTTAGAACCTAAAGCAGAAAGGTGACAGTTGGCTGAGGTTGAAGAGAATACAGTTTTTGTAGTGCACACCTCTCGAATTTCCTTGATCTTGCATCCACCTTTTCCGATAAGCGAGCCACACTGGCTGGCAGGCACCACAATGCGTAGGGTGACCGGGGGCTTGCTGGTAGCTGTGCTGTTCGTCATCGAGCTGCTGATATCCTGATCAACAAAAAAACAACAACATTTGGGTTCATTCACATTCTGACTGGACTAGTCGTTGCTTTTTTCCTCTCTGAGGTCAGGAAAAAATGGAATCTACCTCTTCCAACTTTTCAATGATCATGGAGAATGCTTTAAATATGGCAGTGGTTGGACCTGCCAATGTAATGATCCTCTCAGGACAATTGCCCTCTGAGATGTTGATGCGAGCTCCGCTCTACAAAGAAAAGTAAAGAATAAAATGAGTGATCTGGAGCCTTTTGTAGCCTGTTAGTAAGTATAACTTGACATATTACTGTTTGCTACTATATACAACAAAGGAAACCTCACCTCTTCTCTCATCTTCTTCACAGATTCACCTTTCTATTTGGAGACAATAAAGACAAATTTAGTATAACTTAAACAGATGTTCGATGACTGAAATTGAAAACTGTTCATTTAAACAGCATCTTACCTTCCCGATAATGCTTCCAACTTCCTAAAAAAGGGAAAGATCACATGTTATTAGCTTGAATTTGCCTTTTATTACCAAAGTTTCAAAGCTCCCAAGACACGGTTTGCTTAGCTTATCAGGGAATTAAAAATAAATAAATTTAGAGACACAAAAAGTTATTACTTTCATTCCTTTATTAAATCCTCAGTTGTCACAGTCATTAAATAACAATAGATTTTTCATTAATCTCCTGCTGATCATTAAAGCTCCTTCATCTAATCGTCTTTAGAACATTTGGCCTGATCCATCATGAACATCCACATTTGTATGTCCGGTCTGTCTCCACATACTCAACAAATGAGATCCAGGAGGCAAACTAGCACACAGCATCTGTGGGTTTCTTACACTTCTCCAGGCTGCTGTAAGATGCTACAAGTTAAGGAGCCGACTGCGAGTCGGCCCCATGCAGAGCACAGGCGCAGCTTTGCAGACCATCATCTACATGTTGTAGGCGTTTACTGTCACCAGGTGGCAGTGTTAAAAATATGTGGAACAACCAGCCTGCGGGCTATTCTTGTGTCTGCTGTCGTTGGGTTTTTTCAGCCTGCAGGAGAAGACCCAAGTCAGAACATAACACGTTCAACCTACGCATATCATCACAACCATCCCGCTACATGCTGCTGGTTCTTCAAGGACTGCAAGCAAGCATGCCTGCATAGGCATATCCATAATCCTTCACTTTGCCAAGCCAAATACCAATGCAAACACACACACAAATGGTGTAGCATAAAGTTTTTGGAGAATCTTTTTGTCTTCCTTGTTGACATGACATACCAACATTTTAAACCACCATTTAAAACAAACAGGCTACTCTGGGACCCAAGAGATGCCACGTGTGGCTTTTGCACTGTCATAAAGCCAGATGGATTAGTGAAATTAGCATATTCTGTTTACCGATTTTAGATTTTACTACATTGGACAGTGATGTCATGAATATATTTGTTTAATATCATTTCAGCAAACACTTAAATAAGAGATTTTAAAGGTAGAAACTAAAGCTGAGTCATAAGTGAAAACACTTATTTTGGTATACGGGATTGTAACACTGAGGCAATATCCCTAGTCATCCTACTAATGTCCCTGCCTTCAGTATATCTCAGGGAGAGGCTTCATTTTAATAAATAAAACGTCATACACTATCAAATGCAGACACAGGCTGTCAATGGATGACCTCACCTTGCCATGCATGAGCAGCCTAATGGTAAGGGTGACATTGAGCCCGCCTTCAATCACACCGGAGTCCATGACTGCAACTGCAGGTCAGTACAGAACTGAAGTCTTTGGTCACTGAGATGGATCTAAGGAACACAGAAAAACATGCACACATTAAACTAGAAATATGATGTAGAAAGACTGAGCCGCCATTCATTAAATGAGACAAATATAATCTAAAATACTGTTCCAAGATGCTGGTAAATAAGCACACCAAGTATTTCGCTATTGAATGTTACATTTCAAAATGTGTTTAAAAGGCCCGTAGATCCCATTCACCCATCTTACTAAGCAATTATCTTACTAATTATACCAACTCAAAACATTAAATTTTGAAATTGAAATTTCACAAATCTGTTGGCTGAATGAATACGGCCTGATAAAACAGTAAAACAGACATTTAAAAAAGACTAATTCCACTTGACTTTAGAGGATTCGAAAAAATAGTCCACAATAAATTTGGGAGATAGCATATGCTAACCTTAATGCTTATGAATACTGATGCGTACTAAGATGAATCAGACAAATATGGCCAAGGACTTTTACTAGGTTCTCCAGGGTAGGTGAATTTACTTCCAACTATCTGAATGCTGCTTATGGGACTCTAAACAGGCGCTGGAAAGACATCGATGTTAACTAAAACACATATAGCTTATACGCTAACGATGCCTTAATCATTAGCTATGCAAGTTTATCAACAAACATGCGGACACGCTCGTCACGAACCGGACCCAAATTTCATAAAACACGCACACAACAATTTTCCGTGTAAAAAACAAGACATTTACTGGCACACTTTGGCCGTGTTGTTTTAGTTAAACTCAAATCATTTAACTATTAAAAACTAGTTGTGAACCTGTTAGCCACTTAGCATTGTGGTCGAGCTGGAAAAATGAATGGAGCATGCGTGCGTTACTTAGCTAGCTAGTTAGCTAGCTTAATTCGTCAACGTTACAAACAGCTGGCTAGTTATCGGTGGTCTTCATAGCGAGGTAGATTGGTCCAGTTTAAATCAAGTCCAGGCGATAAAGATGACAAAACATGCCCATAAAGGAGACATTAAAATAAAACTTCCCCCTTGGCTAGCCAAGCTACTGAGCTCAGTCAGCACGGAGACTGCGTGCTCATCATCACGCGGCCTGTTAGCACGCAGAGCGAACCGCGGCTAACTGCTGGGCGCGATTTCTTTCCGCGACTTCTGATCATAACAACAAATATAAAAAGAGCAAAGAGCGAAATCAAACTCACCTGACTCGTGCGCTGATAGGTGATCGGGGGGAGGGTTGGGGTTGTAAGGGTAGAAGGGGAGAGGTTCGGGAGGGTAGAAACCCGGGGGAGAGTTTAGAAAGGACTCGGGGAAGAGGGAAGAGTGATGTGAGATCGAGCTCCACTCCTTTACACAAAGACAACAAAATTGTGACCTCTGAACTTTTCCCTTTCACCCATCACAAACCCCGACTCCTCCCCGAGTCTGACCTATTTTTTTTCGTAAAGCACGCCCCAATAAAATGTGGGACAGTTTGCAACAACATGGCAGGTTATATGAAAGGACATAATTAAAAAAATAATAAGAGTTATGCAATACAGTGCATTGCTAAATTAGTTTTGAAAACGAAAAGCCAGTTGATAAGAATAACAGACTGTCTACGTGTTTTATCTGTTTATATAAATTAACAGAAAAAGTTTTAAGATATCTTTCAGATTTCTTGCAGTTTCTAATATATTCCGATTTTATAGCTGAATAAAATACTTTTTAAGGAGCCGCTAGAGGGCGTAATATTCCTTCCTCTCCTCTTCTTCGGCTGCTCCCTTTAGGGGTCGCTACAGAAGATCATCTGCCTCCATCTCTCTCTATCCCTAGTATCCTCCACTGCATGTCCTCCTTGACTGCATCTATCAATCTTCTGTATGAGCTTCCCTCTGCATGGCAACTCCATATTCAGTCTCCTTTATTCAATATATCCACTCTTCCTCCTCTGCACCATGTCAGCCTTGCCTCTCTGACTTTTTCCCTAAACTGCTTAAACTCAGCTGTCCCTCCGATACACTCATCTAATCCTGTCCCATTTGGTTAAATCCCAGTGAAAACCTTCAGAGCATCTTCAACTCTGCCTCCTCTCTACCAAACACCATAGCAGGAAACCTTTCTATTTGCCCTTGCTGTCATCCTTCTGGGACAAATCATCCCTGATTGGTCTCCACCCACTCCACCCTCCCTACACTCTCTTCTTCACTCTGGATGGTTGACACCAGGTATTTAAATTCTTGTATCTTCTCTATTAAACCTGTCTCCGTAGTGAGCATGACATTTATTACAATTTATTTTCTTTTTTTTAAAAAATCTTGATTTTTCTGAGCAATGTCAAACACACCATAGACTTTTTTATGTAACTCCATTTATTAATACAATTTATTTAACTTTAAAATGAACAATATTAACAAGCAACAGTTTTTTTCTGCAGCCATGCACAGTAGTGATCATAAAATAAAATTAAAAAACAAAAAACAATTATAGACAGTATACCTTTACTTAATTAACTATATTTTCTATATCCCTTTTAACTTAATTACATTAAGAAAATCATCTGCACAGTGCTGCAGTCTCTTTTTCAGTTATCTACATGTTTGTCATTGTAATATTAGAGAATAGTAACAGTAGATAAATTGCAACATTTCACCTAAAAACCACAAACCAAAGTAAAATTCAACATGAGGTGGAATCCCAGTGCCGATTAAAGTTGTGACAGTAACACACACACAAAAAGAGCTGCTGTATGCATTTCTAGTGTCATACATTTATACTGAACATGTGAGATTTGCTGCGACTCAGCAAAAATCTGCAAAAGGCTATAAGAACTGCTTTAATGCATTGACAGTTAACTGTTAGTAGTTAATAGTTGCGCTGTGCTGTTGTTACACAGCTTTTTTGCGAAAGCCATGCTTCAAACCAGTCGCCTCAGTCTGAGTCGCTGCTGCTGCTGCTGCTGGAGGACTGTGAAGACAGAAACAGGAAATTATACATCTATTAATAGTTTTAAAACAGTTAAAATATAGATTTTAAATTATAAACAATGCCTGATCTGCTTAAGCCATCTTCAACAGTGAACAAAGAAACACACGGTTTTAAAAGTCACCACCAACTGTTTGCTCTTTTCACTCAAAACTTAAAAATTAAACCATAAACCATAAATTTAAACCCCTTCTCACCTTGCCATGTTTGTAGTGCTTATGTTTGTGCGCCTTTTTCATCTTCTTGTGCATCTTTTTGTTTGCTTTGTGCCCAACTAGCCCCATTCCCATTCCTGCAACTCCCCCGGCTAAGGCTCCAGACATGGGATTTAGCCC